TTAGGCCAGGGTCACACTTCTAGTTAGAGTCGAAATTCAAACTCAGTTTCCTTTTCTCCAAAGCACATATTGTTTACACTTTATCACACTAGCAGTTTTCTAAATTGGGATGTTGGTGTTGAAATGAGATATTCTGACTTGTCCTTCAATTGGATATTTTTCAGTTTTCACTTTTGATTTTAGAACTGAATCATCTTTCTTATACGCCTCTGCTATGTAACCATCAAGACAAAGTGGATAATATAACGTCTATTGCCTCTACAAAAATTAATAGCTATCCTATTTCTGAGAAAAGGAAATTTTAGCACAAAAACTCTGTATCTACCTGACTAATAGGTCAAACTTCATGGCCAATTTTCCTTTTAGCCCTTGCAAATGAGCTTCCTTAGTTCCTCAGTAAATGAAAACTAGGTATATGGCCTGGGCTACCGAGCAATAGATAGCGTGAGAGGAGGGGAGAAAAAGGTGCATGAAGAAAAGGAAACTCAGGAACTGACGAAGTTTTAAGGGAAGCAAGTAAGAACAAGAAAGATGAAGAAGAAAGAAAGGAGGAAAGATTGTTTTCACAAAGCACACAAAAAAAATCACAATATTATTATAGCCATAAACAGAGTTTTCTCAGTCATAAGTGACTCCGATTTCCTTTCCTGTAAAATCGTTGCTCAGTTTGCAGGATCACGACTACATCTGTGCAGTTTCTGGTTCATCGTTACATACTGCCCCAGTGTTGAAAAACAAGTCACCCGCCAGTTTAAATATTATTGACTCATTGATTGAATTCTTTTACTAGGAGTGCATGTTGTGATGAAAGGCCAGTCTTTTGTTGTTTTTAGAATTCTTACTCTAGCTGTACATGTAACTGTATTATTCTCTATCATTTTTCAGTTTGCTATCATGAGGTACTAAATTTATGGTGGATCTATGTAGTTTGCTATCAAAAAAAGTATTCAAGTTATGGGAGAAATACATAATCATTCATCTTAAAGGGTTTTGTAAAACATGGATTGTCATGAAAGTGCAAATATGCATTTGCCATTTTCCAAACCAGGTTTAATCTCCATAGGCTTACATAATTCTTGCATTCACAAACATATCTTTCATAAGTGCAACTCATCTAAATGACGAAAACTACTGGGTGCAGCCAACAGTCTTACTGCAGAATGGGCCAATTCCCAACAATGTTGGGAGAAGGGAGAATGATGAAGACTGATTTGTTTAATCATTCATACTTAAAGGCTACATACAAATTTTAAACATTAATGAATAATAACAACAATAATAACGGCAGTTCACATTTAATTACTTATTACATATTAGAAACTGTCCCAAGTACTTTGTCTATAAGACCCTTTCAAACAATTCTATAAGGTAGGTATTATTTTTAACCCCATTTTGCGGATGATCTGGTAAGGCTAAGCTACCCTGGGAAAAGGAACTTGCCCAAAGTCACAAACTGGGCATTAGTCACGCTGGGACTGGAATATAAGATTTTCTGACTTCAAAGCCAAGCAGCACTGCTTTACTGGTACAAGGCAGAGGGAGTCGGAATTGTCAGAGTCGTTCCAAGGCAACTTCTAGCTATTTAGGACTAACTTTTACACAACTGGGGGGAAACAAGTCAAAGGAAAAGTTGTCACCACTTCAACCAGAACTTGTCATGCCAAACGTAAAATCAGTTCAACCCTCAAAATTAGTTTTTCAAGAAATCAAATATCCTTCTTAGAATGAAAATTACATGTAAAATCTTGGTCTTATCTTTCACAATTAAAACACACTAAGATATGTGTTCCTGGGTATCATATTACCTTTTCAGCCAGCATCCAATTAAAACAATGGATGCAGGGATAGAAAAAGACAGTTCGAGGAATACAATCAACAATGTTGTAAGCATTTCTTAGGGGTCCAGATGGACCCATGTCCTTTTGGAGCGTCCACTTCATAGTTGATGTAGAGGCCTGACGACCGCATTGTATTCCTGAAACTGATGTTGAATAATACTGTATGTCAACGATAATTATATATACATATATAATCTCGGGACATGGAGTAGAGTG